GGGTTCCGGCTCCAAACTGCTCGCGCATGGATATACCAAGGGCTGCACGCGGCACCGGCCATTGTCTAGAGCATCCTCATGCCTCTCTAATAGCTCGACAGCTTCCGCAAGACGTATCCCGGCTTTCACCGTTCAGCTGGCTACATCGTCATAACGCTGTCCCTTGTGCTCAGCCTCGCTGGGTATTAGTTCCTCGTCAGCAAGAACGTCCACTCGCATCCGAACCGCTACTACCTCCACGACTTCAACGGCCTGTCGCCCATCTCGTGGCCGACGGCGGAATTGGTCCTCTGGGTGTTGGCTGGCCCATACTACCTCACATTGTACGAGGCGGCCACGGCAGCAAGAGCACGAGACTTTGTACGTCACAGGAAATGAGGCCGTTCTTCATACCATGTCTTCCCCCCACATTACTTTGCACCGGGCTGCGTTGACGGCGCCGTATTTGCTTGACTTGGCACTGCTTCCAGAGGACGGGGTACATGGGTTTTTCAGGGTTGGCCAGGACCCCGGCGTCGACCGCAGCGGGCGACTTGGAGGTGTTTGCTTTGACGGCCTTGTTTGAACTTTGGCGCAGGAATGGCGTTTTTCTGGATCGTTATGAGTTTCGGCGCTCTGGCCATTTGAGAGGCGTGAATGACTACTCGTCTTGGTCAGTCGAGCCAGAAGCTGTGGCAAAGAAGGCAAAGTAGACACCCAACACCTTGTTGCAGAACAGTTACGGAACCTGTTGGGATTCCTGGGATTCGACGTTACTCTTCACCACAAGCATCACGGAGCAAGCCATGCGCAGAGTCAATGCACCCAGCAGACTCTGAGTGTCTTTGGGTACTTTGGCGTATCTTTAGTCAAAATGAAACCGCCGAGGACATAGCTACGCTTTTGTGTATCTCTTGGTGACTTTACTTGGAAGTCCATGTGCTCGGCCCGCGGAGCTGATAGGTCCCCCTGGCATACCATAGCCAATTCAAGCATACATAACACGTATCGGTATTGGGGATACATGCATTGCTCAATATGGAAAGAGGAGTACGCAATGCCCTCTTCTGAATGGCCCGGCAGCAAAACACTGACGGCACCGCCGCCAGAAATGACATGATTCTGACTAACGTTGCCGCCCCCGATATCCGAACCGGGAGCCACAGAGCAGTAATAGTAAGCGGGCCCCTACCGGGACTCGAGTTGGAATGTTGGAACCCGAGAGGGAGGAGACAATAACTTCGTACGTTCCATGTCTTAGTTCCGGTTAGAGCGGTTGTTTCGGCCAAAAGCGGGAATAAGCACTCTCTCTCTGCCCTTGGCCACGAGCAACGAGATAGTAGTACTACGCACAACACTGCGAACCACACAACCCCCTAGGACGAGACTATCATATATTTTCATAGTCTAGCGCGGTAATGACTCTGTAGTATTTAACCTAATCCCGCTGAATCATCGTTGTCCGCCCACTCGGAGCCCGTCAGCATCCACCTTTCGACCCAGGAACCTACTAATCTCGTCGGCCTCGTTATCCGCCCACAAAGCCTCCCTCTCTCATTACTATGAGCAATCACCGCAGCAACAGACGACGCAACTATCGGCGACTATCGGCTTGTTAGCTGACCGGGTCAGGTTGTCGAGTCTCAGCCCAGACACTAGACAAGAAGCCCCGTCTCCCTGACCGCCCGGAAAACCGCTCAGCCGTGAACCAGGCATTTATTTCTAATCAGCATTATGGCCGATTGGTAAGCTACCCACTTACGCCGTCGGTAGATTTCCCCAGCGCCGAGCGCCTTGAGGGTTTGCGTGGAGAAGGCCTCAATAGAGATTGGGTGATTCTGCTTGTCACTGGAGGAATCATTTCCAGGGGGTGAAGACAAACTACACGTCAACTGGTACCTTGACATTTTGGAGACGACTATATCAATTGACTTTGCCCCGCGACCCCAAAACTCTCAACTCTCAAGTTCACCATCATTACACACACGATCAACTCAAACAACCCCCAACTCCAGCTCCAACTACAAAAAAGAAACCATCACTGAAAATGGCCAGCCTCAAGACCATGACCCTCCACTCCCACGCGGGCGGCCCCAACCCGTGGAAAGTAGCCATCATCCTCGAGGAGCTCGGCCTCCCATACGAGCACAAGTTCCTCGACTTCAAGCAAGTCAAAGAAGAGCCCTTCATCTCGCTGAACCCCAACGGACGAGTTCCCGCCCTCGAGGACCCCAACACCGGCATCAGTCTCTGGGAGGTAAGAAAAAAAAGAAGACGCTTCGACATTGCCCTTCAACTCAGGTCCCCACCCGCTAACATGGTAAATGAAACGCCACACAGTCCGGTGCTATAATCGACTACCTCATCGACACGTATGACACCACCAAGAAGCTCCAATACACCAGCACGCCCGAAAAGTACCAGACCCGCGTCTGGGAGCACTTCCAAATGTCGGGCCAGGGGCCGTACTTTGGCCAGTTCATCTGGTTCACGCGGTATCACCCCGAAAAGCTCCAGTCGGCAATCGACCGCTACGCCAATGAGATTCGCCGCGTGACGGGCGTTATCGACGCCCACTTGAAGAAGCAAAAGACCGAGTATCTGGTCGGCGACAAGTTGACCTACGCCGACCTGATGTTTGTCCCGTGGGCCGTGGCGGTTTCCAGCCTGGGCGCCGACCTTTTGGACTTGTCGGGCTTTGACGCCTACGACGCCTGGTTTGCCAAGTTGAAGAGCCGGCCGTCGGCGGCCAAGATCATCAAGGAGAGGGAGGCGGCTCTTGCTGCCAGCCATTAAGGTATGAAACGGGCACGACTTAGGGGGGTCCGAGACTGGGAGTTGAGATGTGAATTGTTCATGATAAGGGATAATAAAGAGTCAAGTTACAAGAATTCTGAAACGGGAGCTTGGTGCCCTGGACCAAAGGCTAGATATTAGTGTCAAATAGGGTAGAAAAAGAAAAAAGAGAAAAAAAAGCGCCAATAGTCGCAATACTCCAAGCTCTCATGTGCCAAGCTCTCCAGCTCCGTGATATAATCTTGCAGCAGCCCGCCTCTTGGGTCTGCCTCGGACAACTGTCTCGCCTATATCGCTCCTCGGCGCTTCCGTCGGATGATGTGCCCAAAAATCACGGCTGTCGCGCTCACCCGGCTCGTTGAAGCCGTGCATATCCACCCCCCATCCAACGCTACGCGTAACCGTCTGCATCACAATATCACAGTCGTAGCCGAAAGGCTCAGTCTCCCGCAGCGGCAAATGGTTGAACCTCCAATCCAGCACGGCGGCATACGTGGACCGGTACGAAGCGACGGCCATGATGATGCCAATCATCGATCCACCCACTATATCGTACCAATTGTGCGCGGCGTCAATGGTGAGCGAGCAGGCTATCATGACGGCTGCAAGCAGCGGGCTCATTGTAAGTGTTAGCTTCCAAAACGCCGGCTTGTGGTCCGCCCAGACCTTCAGCTTCGCATTCAACCATAGAAACAGGAAGAAGAAACCCGCAAAGGCCGCGGTCGAATGGCCGCTTGGAAACGATGTAACGGCCTCCTTTAGTCGCCAAGTGTTGGTCTGCGTGCACACTTCTGTCGTGTACATGACTTGCTGGAACCCAACCGCGTTCAACCCAGTCTTGTTGTGCGTTCTCGCCAGGGACATGTCCGGTCTGCACACATCAAGAAAGTACGGTCGGAACCCGCCTATGAGCTGCTTGATGATGACTTGGAAGAGGGTTCCAAGCGAGACGGCCCACAGTGTGCCCATGATGGCATTGCTCGCGTCCCAGGCCGACTTGATTCGAACCTGGGCGAGCAGATAGACGACGATGGGGCCGAGGATGGACACCAGCCCCGAGAACCACGCTGGCAAAATCCAGCCGCGGTAGGGGTAGGCCCATTCGGGATACACGATATCCCCCGAGCCATTGAACGTGATGGGAAACGTCCGCACTACACTGGTCGGGGCATGATAAATCTACAAGTCTCGTGTTAGCCCTACTAACATGGGGTACGGCCAGGATATGAAGGTGGTCATGTCGGCACACGTACGCACATGCTCAAGGCGCCCATGGCTAGCATCAGGAGCACATCCGTCCAATTTAATCGAATCCACTCCTTCAAGAATGCTCTCAAGTCATGAAGAAACGAAGGCTGACCTAGAGACACCGAGTCTACCCCATCAGTTTGCGGCATGGGAGGCATGGCCGGCTGCCTGTCCTATGACGATGTCTTGAGCGGTGGTGCCGGGCAAGGGGCACACCGCGCAGTATACTGGTTTAAAATGAAATGAAAAATAAAAAAAAATACGCGAAAAGGGACAGAAAAAATGGCGATGAGTATGTGCCTCGGTGCGTGTGTGACATCGAGTATGAACGCCATGCGAGCCAGACCAGTGTCATGTGATTTGGTCGTCGCCTAACGACCGCCGATAACAAGCTTCGCCAGTGGAAACGCCAACACGTTCAATGCAAATTCCTTCCCCAATATCAATTTTCATTTTGGTATATCGGGTACATGCTTTTTAGATGGGTCTGCCATAGTCGATATACTCTTTACTGCCTTGCGTTAAAGTGCATGGAGGCTTAATTCGAAGCGCGATTTTACGTTTGTATGGATAGCAAGTCGGAGTTCATTTCTTGTATGCGTTTGTAAATGTCGCCTCCCAATTTATATCGTTCTTAGATGTCATGGTTGTTGATCGATTCTGTCAGATGCGGTATCACTGGGTTGACGGGTTTCCCCCAGGCCCCGTCACCCCTACCAATGTCAAATGCACGTTTGTCACAAGCTGAGACTAACCCTAAGACAGTCGCGTTACACAATATAGGACAAACCGAAATACGGCATAACCGTAAAGTGGCTTACTCATTTCTTTTGTGCCACGAAAAGCGGGCAACATCAACAATGCTTGATACAAAAATAGTCCGAATCCGGCAGCTCACAAGTCTGAATTCGACAGCAGAACCATACACTATGTACGCTCCAATAACAACGTCCTCCAAGGTATATACATGACACAATTTACAGAGCAACCATACCAGCGCCAACGCCGAGGGCCACCAACATGTAGAGGCCCACAGCAAGGTCGCCAATAGCGAGGATACGGGCAACAGGGGCGCCATGAACGGCAAAGCTGTCACTGCTGCTAGTAGCCTTGGCATTGCCACCGCCGACGGGACCGGTAGCGGTGGCAACTTTCTTGTTGGTTTCACTGGCCTCTTCCAGGGCTTTGGAGCAGGAGGCGTCAGAGTTGGCGCTCTGGGTCTGGGCGGAGCCGTCGAAGTCGCAAGCATCCTTGGCCTTCTTCTGGCTGTTGTAATAGGCATCAAGAACGTAGGCCAGCTTCTCCTCGTCGCTGCACATGCTGTAGGCACCGTAGACACCAGTGGTGGCATTGGCATTGATACCAGCGCAAGATCCGGGAGAGGTATTGCAGATGTAGCCAAACATGTCGCCGAATTTGTCGCCAGAGAGGCCGGGCTTGGGGACGCAAGCACGGGACTTGGCCATGCAGGAACAGAGACTCTTGTCGGGAGTAGGAGGGAGGGCCTTGTTAGCCTGCCAGTTGTCGGTCAACTTGGGGCATTCGTTCATCTTGCCGCCGGGCTTGTAGTCGGACTCGTCCACAGTCTTGGGCGTGGCCGCCTTGACCTTGTTCTTCAGGGCATCAAAGTCCTTGAGCTTGGTGACCTTGTCGCCAGAGACCTTGACCAGACCATAATCGTTGGCCTCCTGGTAGAACATGTAGACGATACCACCGCTGAAGGTACCAGTCATGTCATCAGAGTAGAGGGCGGTGGTTTCGTCAAAAACACGGTTGGCAGCGCCCTCGTTGTTGCAGCCATACTCAGCAAAGAAGACAGGGACAGAGTAGTTCTCGAAGAATTTGACCTGCTGATCATAGCCGGACGTTTGCATGGAGCTCTTTCCACACCAAGAGTAGATGTTGTAACCCCAGAAATCGATGGACTCTTCGACATTGTTGCAGTTGAAGTAAGCGGCAATCTCAGCGCGAATCATCTCGTCATCGTTGGCGGCGTAACCAACACCGAGCCATCTGGTAATCTTCTTGTTGTTCTTTATGTAGGCCTTGGTGTCTCGAACAGCGGCCTTGACGAAGGCAGAGGCAGCGGTGTTGTTCTTAGCGTTGGAGACCTCGTTTCCAGCAAAAAAGCCGATGACGTTGGGGTACTGGGCAAGCTCATCAATGACAGCCGTGTAACGCTCGAACAGGGCAGTGTCCCACTGAGGACTGTCACGGTTGATGGAGATGGCGGGTTCGCTAAGATCGGACACGACGTAGATGCCGGCATCCTGCAGCAGCTGCATGCAGGCCTTGTGGTCGGCCTTGGGGTCGATAGCGTACGTTCGGATCACGTTGGTGCCGAGCTCCTTGAGAAGAGGGACATCACGCTTGCAAACCTTCTCATCGGAGAGAGGGTCGACGTAATTCTCCTCTGTATTAGCCGGCCGGGCGGCAGAAGAACCACCGGGGACGTATTCCTGCTGGTACGCAATACCCATCATGTAAAACTGAGTTCCATTCTCGTAGAAGAGCTTGGAGCCCTGTATGGATGCAATTACTGCTGTCAGAAATTGGTCGTCTACGGCGTAATGTGAACAATGCTGTCAACGGACCTTGACCTTGATGGGCTGAATATCGGCGGCCAGGGCGCTCCCTGCGACGGCAAGGAACGCCAATGAAAGCTGGGCTAGTCCCATGTTGAGATTCGAACACTGCGAATGCGAAGGTTTTTCCTTTACTTGTTGAACAATTGCAAGTATGAAAGGAGAAAAAAAAACTTGACGAGTATTTCCAAGGAGTGTCGGGAATGCAGTTCAAAAGTCAGTGTAGCTTGCTATGGACGATAAGGAGTGTCGGGAAAGGTGTAACAAATGAGGCAGCCAACCTCTATGGGTAAAAAATTAGACGCGTATTAAAAAGAAGAAGAAGAAAAGATGATGGAGAAGAGACCGCAAAGCCAAAACAGTAGCTCTTGAGATCAGGAAACGAGTGTGGTTTTGACCAAAGTCAAGTTGGAGAAAGAACGAAAGAGAAGGCAAGCCAACAAACAACGAGACGGAGCCCAAGACCACAAGGTACTACTGACTGCCAGGGGTTTGGCCATCAGATGGAGAATTAAGAAATTGGCTGGCGCCAATCCCTCAAATGGATATTCAGGGGGCCAGCGCCGAGATTGATTGGCTCAGGCTAGCAGACTGGGTCAAACGGGCATCCAGACGGCACGGTTCAGTACGGAGTACCAACCCCCATGTTTTATTAGCCACCGGTACAAGACAGGGTGCCATAGAGCCAATAGGAGCTAATTATTAGGAGAAGTAATGGGGGCATGAAGAATCTCTACTGTATTTTGTACTCCGTACCGAACCTCATATAATTGAAAATCTCTTCTTTCAACCCTCCTTCTCTTGAGAACCTCTCGCATAAATACCGTGAATCGCTGTCAGCACCTGTCTGGAACTCCCCTGCATGTCGCCACATGTGCAGACGGTGGCTAATAAAACAAGGCACCTGAGCACTGGGGGTTATTTACACCGTACGCTCACTGTAGGATCTGGCATCGACCACACATGTGCAGGCGGGAGGCGGGAGGCGTGAAGCGCTAGGCCCCCAACCCCACAGCAGACATCAGCGTAGCGGCACCACCCAAGCACCGTCCAACTGGGCACTGGGCCACCGTTTCTTCCCTGAGCAACTCCCTGGACGCCCTCTGATCGCCCCCACCTCTCCTGGGCCAGCGCGAGGCGCAGCACCAGGGAACAGACAAGCTTATAGTTTTGGGACGATCGGTCCAGGGGCAATCTCCTGGCGGGCAATTGGTGACTTTGATGACTGAATCTCCAAGGCAGCACTTGAGATGGCAAAAGGAGGTGATGCCCGTGCTGACTGGTCTGAGTGGCCCGGTGGCCAGCAAAGAACCAGACACTAACTGGATTGCCATAGCCTCTCGAACATGCTGGTCCGTCCTGTCCTCTCGTATCGACTTCTTCAAACTTTGCTCCTCGACCCTGAAACGCCGATTCCATCCTTCAGCTTTGCTGTCAATGACATTGTTCTTGTCAGTCGGTCTCATTGTCACGCTTGTTCATGCACTTGCGGTCTGCCGCCAGACAACCTTGGCCTAGTGGGGCCTGCCTGGCTTCGCTGTTGGCTTGGCTTGGCTTTGCCTCCTCGCAACAACCGCAAAATCTCGTGTTTTCTCTATCTCGCTCGACACGGCGTGAAAAGTGCAACCAGCCTACAACAAAGGTAGCTTGGCATTCGTTGGTCTCCAAAGCGACCGAGGACAACATACAGTGCATACACAAACAGGAGCACCGAAGGAAGAGGACCAGCATCTCCGCGTTCGAGCCATCCTCACCTTCGCCTGACACATTCTCCAGAAACAACCACTCGATTCCCCAATCGCCGCTCCGAATTCAGCATGGCAGTGCAGAAGCGTCAAGCTCGTATTGCCAAAGATTCATTTCCATCACTGAGCCATCTCTCCATTTAGTTTGAAAATAAATGCCGTGTGTTGACTTGGGTTAGTTTCTGTAAATTCTGCTCATCCACAATCCCGGCAGTGCAATGGGGCAGAATGCCAATCCGCAACAATATTGCCAATTCAACTCACGTGCTTGTCCAAACTCGGCATCATAGCAAGATCGAAATGCGTGTATCAACCGACACATAGTAGATTCGCGCCAGTAGCCCAGTTCGTTGTGGAAACTCCAGGATCCAACGAATGCGAACAAAAGCTGATTTGTGTATTTTTATCATGGACTGCTATGTGTCCATCTCCATACTTGCCATTCCCGTCTCATTTTTTGGCCTCCTGGCCAATTATCAATTAATTCATTCAAGCTACCAAGCAATTCAGCCCTCTTGCTGCGTTGGCTGCAATTAACCACGGCCAAGTTGTCGCTAATAAAAGTCATCATCCACTGCCGAACCCGTCTCGATTCTTGTAGGAATTGAAAGCATCCACATTGTACCGGGCCCATGCTATATCCTTGCGTACCGCAATCTCAGTTTGGCTTTCATTAGGCCACTGTACCCGTCATGATTGCCAAGAAACAAAGCATCAGACGGTTGTTACGGGCCCCATCGTGTGTTCAAAGGTTGGGTCATCATCGTCCCCGGACCTTGCAGTAGGCGGTTCCAACACCATACAAAACATAGTCCCACATACGGTGTGTTGTTTGGAGAATGCTGCTGGGGCGAGGCTCTCGATGATCTCGAGGGTCACGGTAGTAGCGTCCATCGTCATAAATTAGGCGTCCCATTTTACCCATTGTTTGCGTCTTTGTATAATCGTTACGACACTCATACACTAGAATCCACGAGCGTCTGAGTTGAGGTAGTTGAGATGGAACAGTGATTGGGGGGGATTGTCAAATTCTCCAGCTTTGTGGATCGCATATTATATATATATCACTTTTCAGCATGCTATTTTGCTTCAGTCGTGTGGTCACTTGGCGGCTGCCTCTGGATGTCACGCGCCTAGAACTGGTGGCGTGCCCAACTGTGAAAGGCCACGGACCAAACTTGACAAACGTGACGTCTGTTCTGGTTGCAAATAGTTACCTGTCACAAGCTTTTGCCTCGTTGCTTCCTGCACGTGCTCATTTGGAGCCTGGGGTTGCAACCTCACATCTATGTTGACGGTGACGGGGTCGTCCGTCGTCTATCTCAATGACTCAACCTATGGTATATTACGATCATCATTGCGTGCCAGATCGATCAGGGTTGACCACATTACAGAGTGATGGTATTCATTTAAGGGCCAGGGGGTTTGGCAAGAAAGCGGTCCTTGTAGGGCACAGGATTCTAGACCATTCGGCCACTCTCCTTCACCTGTCCTCGCTCTTCTTGTGCTGCGATGGCTTCGATTCGCCAGCATCTACGGAGTACGCATTAAGCAAACGCTTTGAGACCTCAAGCCACGTTCCTAATCAGCCACGAGATTCATCAAGACTTGGAACATGGAATTCGCAGCCCTTCGATTCAGCTTGGCGTCAGCAGATTTTCCCACCTTGTTTCTCCTGTTTAGAGCGTTTCGAAAGACCATTCCATGACGTCTTCTGTATGTAGTTCCCGGACACTTTGCCCCGCCACCACGTCAAATGCAACCCCCCCCCCCCCCAAAAAAA